CATTCCAAACGATAGAAAGGAATACTGAGCCACTTGATCTAATACACAGTGATGTTTGTGACTTAAAGTTTGTTCAAACTAGAGGTGGTAATAAGTATTTTATCACTTTCATTGATGATAGCACAAAGTATTGCTATGTATATTCGCTGAAAAGTAAAGATGAAGCTGTAGAAAAATTTGCTCTCTACAAGCAAGAAGTGGAAAATCAACTTAATAAAAAGATTAAGATGGTAAGAAGTGACCGAGGTGGTGAATATGTTGAACCATTCAGTGCCCTTTGTGCACAACATGGAATTATTTATGAGGTCACACCTCCATTTTCTCCCCAATCGAATGGCATTGCTGAACAGAAAAATCGTACCTTAAAGGATATGATGAATGCAATGTTAATAAGTTTGTGTTGCCACAGAACATGTGGGGGGAAGTCATTTTATCAGCTAATTACCTTTTAAATAAGGTTCCGTGTAAGAAAGTCGATAAAACCCCTTATGAATTGTGGAAAGGAAGGAAACCTACCTACAAATACTTGAAAGTGTGGGGGTATTTGGCCAAGGTAATGGCACCAACACCAAAGAAGATGAAGATAGGTCCGAAAACAGTTGAGTGTATCTTCATTAGGTATGCTCATAACAGTATCGCATATCGGTTCCTTGTGCACGAGTCTAAAAACCCAGACATACACAAGAACACGATAATAGAGTCTAGGAATGCATCATTCTTTGAACATGTATTTCCATGTAAGACTAAGGAAGATGAGCCAAGTTCATCAAAATGAACTTTTGAGACTATCATAGAAGATTGTAGTCAAAATTCTGGAAATGATGAAAATATTGAAATGGAGGAAGAGCCTAGACGAAGTAAGAGAGTAAGGATAGAAAAGTCTTTCGGACCGAATTTTCTAACTTATATGCTAGAGGCTGAACCTCAAACATATAAAGAAGCTGTGAGCTCAACTGAAGGTCCTTTATGGAAAGAAGCCATAAAGAGTGAGATAGATTCCATCTTACAAAATCATATTTGGGAACTAGTAGACCTTCCACCAGGAAATAAACTACTAGGTTTTAAATAGATTTTTAAACGAAAAATGAAGACAGATGGAACAATTGACAAGTATAAGGCCAGACTAGTAATAAAAGGCTATAGACAATGAGAAGGTCTTGATTACTTTGACATGTATTCTCCTGTGACTAGAATAACATCTATAAGGATGATACTAGCATTTGATGTGCCGCGGAATCTTGAAGTTCATCAAATGGATGTAAAGACAGCCTTTCTAAATGGAGATCTGGAAGAAGAAATCTACATGGAACAACCTGAGGGTTGTGTAGCTCCAGGACAAGAGAAGAAAGTCTGTAAATTGGTGAAGTCGTTGTACGGACTAAAACATACACCAAAACAATGGCATAAGAAATTTGACGATGTTATGTTGTCAAATGGATTCAAAATCAGCGAGTGTGACAAATGTGTTTATGTCAAGAAAACGGACGATGGTTATGTCATCCTTTGTCTGTATGTAGATGACATAATAATTGTAGGTAGTAATGATCGGATGGTCAGATCTACTAAACACATGTTGAACTCAAGGTTTGACATGAAAGATATGGGACTGGATGATGTGGTCTTGGGGATCAAAATCAAAAGGATTCCTGATGGTCTCATATTGACTCAGTCACATTATGTGGATAAGATACTTGACAAGTTTAAGAAGGATGATTCTGGTATAGCCAGAACTCCTATTGATATAAGTCAACATCTGTCCAAAAATAGAGGAGAAAGCATATCCCAGGTGGAGTATACTAAAGTGATTGGTAGTCTTATGTACTTAATGAGCTGTACAAGACTAGATATTGCCTTCACTGTAAGTAGATTGAGCAGATTCACGAGTAACCTAGGAGATGACCACTGGAAAACAATTGTGAGAGTACTGAAGTACTTGAGATATACTTGTGAATATGGATTGCATTACACAAGAGAGCCTGGTGTTTTAGAAGGATACTCTTACGTGAGTTGGATATCTGATACACAGGACTCTAAGGCTACCAGTGGATATGTATTCACCTTGGGTGGTGCAGCTATTTCATGGAAATCCTCTAAGTAAACGGTAATAACCAGATCCACGATGGAAGCTGAGTTTGTCGCATTGGATAAATATGGCGAAGAAGCGGAATGGCTTAGACATTTCTTGGAGGACATTCCGGATTGGCCAAAGCCTGTACCTACAATTTACGTACACAGCGATAGCCAATCAGCTATTGGTAGAGCACATAATACGATGTATAATGGTAAGTCTAGACATATATGTCGTCGACATAATACCATTAGACAACTGATCTCAACGGGAGTTATAGTCATTGACTATATAAGGTCGAAAGATAATATTACGGATCCGCTGACCAAAGGACTGAATCAAGATCATATGGAAAAAACATCGAGAGGAATGAGACTAAAGCCCATGGAATAGATAGGTCAAAACAGTGGAAACCCAACCTAGCTAACTGGA